TCTTGCTTCTTGCTTCCTCCCCTTCTGTACCATTGATTCATTAATGTTGAACTCTCTCGCAGCTGCTCTATTCCCATGTAGTGGCATCTTCACTGTGTAGTTAATTTCTAGATTACTGTGTAGTCCTGTTTCTTACGAACGGAGTGAACGGAGTTTTGGATTACTCCGCGAGGCTCCTGACTACTGTAGCTGTAATGCTTTGACAATCCATCAAGCGTTGCATCTTCGTAGTTTACCTGGACAGGTCGTGATAAATGATCACGATGTTGTTCTTTTGCGCTTGTATGAGAGTAAAATGAGCGTTGTTCTTTGTGACCTGGATTATGTCGTTAATCTGTGTCACACAGACTGACTTTAACTCTGCGGTCATTGCGTCCTGTTTCTGATGCGACTACAGGTTCTCAAGTTTTATTGCAGGGCGGTTACCTTTAACACACACACACACACACACACACTTACCGTATTTAATAAAGGTTTATTTAAAACTCACAGCATTTAAATGTTAGATTTCACTTTTGTGAACTTTAATTTGCTTTTCTTGTCTAACGCTGAACTGCTTCCTCCCAAAACTCAGGTGCAGCTTCTAGTTTAGTTCTCATCAGAATGTTCAGTGAGTTCATGAATTCAATCACTCTCTACTGCTTATTTGACACTTGTTTAGATTCAATTTTTTAAAATAGATTTCTGTATTTCATTTTATTTTTTAAATAGATTTGAATGAACAATGTGGATTCTCTGTATTTCACAGTGTATTTTAAAAACACGAACAGTTTTTATGGTTTTGTATGTTTGAGTGAAACCACAGCAGCTACTTCCTCCTCCTGTTTCCACTGAAGTGATGTCTGAATCATCAGTGACATTTGTCAGCACAGAGGTGATAAGAGCGTACATGATGCACCAACGGAAAGATGACACAGTGTTGCTGGAAACTGCTGACAGGTTGGAAAGAATACTTTTCATGATGCTTCATGAATAAGAACTGTCTTCTTTTAATGTACATTGTACAATAACACTACTGCTACCACCTCTTTTTTAGTGACACCGAGACATTAAACTTTAATGCAATATTTTGGAGAACATTGACACTGAGAATCTTATTGGAGCTGAAAGAATTTGGAGCATTTTCACTCAGTCATGGTGGCTCCATGTCGGCTGGAAACTTAGGACTGCCTGCACTTGGGCCCTGAATGATATTCAGCACTTTATGATCGTATCCAGTGTTTTATTCATTTAGAAGAAACAAACAAACAACAACCAAACAAACTAAGCTAATCTAAAAAAATATATAATCTATAACAGCCAAGCACAGAAATGACCAGCAATAACACTACATGTATTCAGTAACGAGAGCTTCATCAAATCATCACGCTAAAAATAGATCTTTAAAAAAAGGGTGTGATCTTTAGTGAACTGAAACGCAATGAAGAAGAATCTGTGGATTTCTGCTGAAATTTTGTGATTTATGAATTATACGTTAATGTTGCCAACACAGGAAGTGTATTGAAAGTCTGAAACCTCGGACTGTCATGAAGGAGGCCAGTCCAGAGACTTCCCGTTTTCTGCTGCCGTTTTGATTCGCTTTCGTTTAAATGAAGAACTGGGATTTTGAGAGTATGTCTTTTATAGTGTTAGTTTCACCACTTGTAGGATCATAGAGCAAATCCAGGTGGAATCGGCGGTCTGACTGGACTCAATACTGTGGTGAGTAAAAGAGACAACAAGAAGTCTGCTTGGACTTTTGTGTTGGGAAAGTTTCATCATTATTATTGTTTTTTTGATAGTTTAGTCCTCAGAAGAGGAACCAATTTGTGGGAAGGAAAAAATCCACTGTGGTAGGAGGTATAGAGGAGGTGACGTTCACTGTTTAAATTGGATTAGCGGAGTTGAAAGGATATTTATTCTTTTCCGGTTTTCTTGAGACCCTGTGGTTTTGGTGAAATTTGAAATATTTTTTGAATGTATGAGTTTATTTGATGCTCAGGATTTCCTTTTAATTGCATTCTTCATGAAGTCTTCCATGGCAGTAGAGAGTAGGGATGGGTAACCAGATCGAAAAGCAGCGCACATTTCGGTGCTTGATTTCGGTGCTTTTTTTTCCCTGAGATGCCATACACTTTGGATTCTAGCCAATCCCTTTACCTTTCCAAGGATAGTTGGCGGGCCCAGGTACGTACGTTCTTTTAGAGCAGAGCTGCAGATTAAAAATGCCCAAGGCGAAGCGAAGTCTGGCTGTACTTTACAGCAAAAGATGCAAACTCAACTGCCTGCATGAAGTGCTTTAAGGTGATACTGTGCAAAGGAGGTAACTCCTCGAATCTCATGACAAACCTTGACACGTATAGCGTTTTTTTAAAAGCCGAGAAATGCACCGTTTCAAAAGTACGGGTTTGGCACTGGTATCGGATAAAACCTAAACGATACCCATCCCTAGAAGAAAGACCTGGCTAGTAGCCTAAAAAAAGAAGAAAACGAGATTAATAAATCTCGTTAAATTCATTAAATGTCCTTTCTCTATCATTTTCACTCCTATAAACAAAACACACAGGCCATGTTTCTGGTGGAGTCCACCAGCCCAACCAATGGAATCCAGTGGGCGGTGTCTAACTGGTATCCTTGAACAGAGGCGGTGGTTTACGACACCAACGGTCTGCCATCTATAATCCAGTTTTGAGATCCCTTCCCAGACGCCTTAACGCCCACTCACATCCTGGGCCATCTGACCTCAGGAAATCACATGATAGGGTGGGGCTAGGTTTCACAATGAGCTCACCCGAAACCTTTGCTGATTGTGACCCACACCTGTTTTCACACCTCGGCTCATGTGATTAGGTAGATGATCATGAGGGGCTCCTTTTGTCCCTCTTTGGGGGGAAACTCCCACTGGGTTTAAATCTGGGACTCTCCGCCATTTGACCTTAGAACTGAAGAAGCTTCTCGGATGAGAGGTGAAACGTCTTCAAGCAACTTAAAGAAGTCCAGACGCTTTTCTTTCCAAGCTCCTTAGACTACGATGACTTGGATGACTGAGGACCTTCACAGACATCTAACTGGTAAGATGGAGATGATGAGATGAGGGGTCCGATTTGTAGGACAGCATGCCCTGACCTCTGATGCTGAGCCAAATGCTCCATCCCTCCAGTGCAGCTGAGCCACAAAACACCACCTGCCACAGTCAGGAGCATCCAGCAGGAGAAAATGGTTTTTTCTTGCTCATCTATGGCACTGATTCAACAGGCAGAAGAGGCCAAATGGCTCTGCTGTGTCAGCAGCAGCAGCAGTCTGTATGAAGTGCTGTAGTAGAAGAACAGAAAGATGATGGTGCAGCTGGTGGGGATGGTTTTGTTGAGTTTTCAAATTTTTTTCTAAGTTTTCTAAGTTTTCTAAATTACAACTCAACAGAAAATTGTCTTTTTTCCACATGTGAAATGCGTTGCGCCAGTTTAGCAACAAAGAGAAACGGGGAATAACTCAGACTTCATGCTACAAGTGCGTGTTTCCTTATCTTCAAGAGGGCATAATGACACGAGCAGTTTTTCCTGCTCTAAGCTGAAAACTGCATAAACAGTTTTTTTTGTCCGTTATGCTGATCATGAATCAGTCCATGGTTTCTCTTTTGTTACTGATTCATGTTGCTGAGTTATTCCACTTATTTTCCTGTCCTGTGTTTTAGACACTGAGTGGCTTTTGTGTGTAATAATGAATTAAAACAAAGCTGGTGTTTGCGTGTCAGAAGCCAATAGTACTTCACAGAGCCGTAAGTCAGTAATAAGCTTCAGGGGAGGATTATTCCCACTCCTCCTTCTCAGACTGTATTTAAAGGATAATTACACCTAACAAGACTCATGAGAGGAGATGATTGATTGATCAACTGATTGATTGAGACAGTACAGGTGCATCACAGGACAGGCAGGGCCATCTCATACAACACAACACAGCTTGAGGCGACTGTTTAAATTTGGTGCTTTATTAATTAAATTAAATTCCATCACAAAACAGCCACAGACAACAGTTGTGAAATGAATTGTATGAACATGATAAGACAGTAGAAAAGTAAAGCAATTTAAAGGGAAAAAACTTTTCTTTTAAATTTGCTCCACAAACAAATATCTGTGGCTGGGACTTTTTTTACAGCTCCAGAAACATGGATGACCTAAAACCTGTGACTTCATCTGTCAACCGGACGTGTGATCTGGTTGTCCCATCAGTCAACCCTTTCTTTATGATGGTCTACAGTCTAGTGTTTCTGGTACGTTTCAAATCTTCAGATTATGGATTAAGGATTCCCCTCACCTGGTTCAGATTCCACACAAACAGGATCTCTTCTGTCTCTGTCTCATCAGGTGGGTTTACTCCTCAATGGCTTCATCATAAAGTTTTACTGTTGCCAAGCTCAGCAGCAGGCATCGAGGAGCTTGATGGTCTACCTGAAGAACCTGACAGCTGCTGACTTCCTGCTGTGCGTCTCTTTGCCAATGCGTGTCACTGACTATGCCAGCAGGTCTGTTACCTTTCGGGAACTCTACTGCAGCTTTGGAGCTACTTCCCTGTACCTCAACATGTACGCCAGCATCATATTCATGGGGTACATCGCTGCTGACAGGTAAGGAACTTTTACTGATTTCAGACTTGAATTCATGACAATGTTTAAACTAGATTAGTGGCTGAACTACATATTCTGTGCTCCTGACTAAAGCACCAACAACTCCTTTCACCTCAACAGTAAAAACATATCTGCACCACTTTTACTAATGATTGAAGCTGTCTACCGCCTCCTTTCTCTTCTCTCCGCAGGTATCTGACAATCATCCATCCTTCAGGAACTCACATCCTGCAGTCAGTACGAACTGCCCACATCGTCTCCACGGTCACCTGGGTTTTTCTCCTGGCTCCAACAATCACCTACAACATTATGTTTTTCATTACTCACAAACCCCTGACCTCTGACCCTGGCTACTGTGGGCCCCTGTTCAGTACGTCATTCAGCATCCTTCATAAAACATTTCAAATCAGCTGCACCATCATCTTCCTCTTAGTCTTCATATCCCTGGTCTTCTTCTACAACAGCACCTCCCGCAAGGTGTTGCAGGCACAGCAGAGGCAGCTGGCCTCCTTCAGCACTGACAAGCTGGTGAAGTCTCGCAGGAACATGTTGGTGCTGGTCAGCATCTTCTGTCTTTGTTTTGTTCCCTACCACCTGGCTCGTCTTCCCTATACCTTTTTGTGGACCAGCTGCTCTGTGGGTCAGCTATTGTACCACTTGAAGGAAGTGACCACTATCTTATCAGTTTTAAATGTTTGTCTGGACCCTCTTGTTTACTTTTTCCTCTGTAAGACTTTTCGAGCTCAGGTGAACTTTAGCATGGGGTCAAGAATGACAACACAAGCAACCCAGGAGAGTGAGAGCAGCAGGAAAGAAGTGGAAATTGTAGAGTTAAATCCATGAGTTATTATGCAAATTTCTACTTTTTTGAAATACAAAGAGTTATATTTGATTTTAGAGTCAGCTTAGATCAGTGAAACCATGTCATGAGTCATGTATTCCAAGTTCTCATGAGCCACAATAGGTTCTGCTGAGATATCATAATGAGTCTAAACTGAGCACAAACCCACCCCCACACAGATACCACCAGTTTATGTTGCTAGCTTTCACCTATTAGCTAAGTAGCTGAATCTGAAACTCATTAATCTGAAGCTTAATCGGTCTAATGATCAAATTAATAAAAAAACAAATACAAAATCTCGAGTTGTTTCTGAAAACTTGTTATGTTTTTTAAAAAAAAACAGCTTTAAATTTTAAAATTGCAAAATGGTTTTTGCGGCTTTTGATGATATAGGAAAAATTGCTACTTTTATTATTTCAATAATATGGTCTTTCTGAGCCTGGTTCTGCCAATGGTTACTTCCTGTTAAGTTTTTCCTTCCCTCTGTCACCAAGTGGTTGCTCAATGGGAGTTGTCTAATGGTTGGCGTTTTCTCTGCATTACTGTAGGCTCTGTACCTTACAATATAAAGCACAATATAAAGCACAATATGAAGCACAGGTGACTGAATGTCAAGACTGTATGTTTTTGCTTGTTTGCATGTTGCATATGTAAAACCACAGCAACTACTTCCTTCTGCAGTTTCCACTGCACTGATGTCAGACACTTAAGTGACATTTCTCAGCACAAAGCTGATAAGAGTGTGTATTGACTGTGATAACGTATAAGTCTCTTTATGCCTCTTTGCGGTAAATTGTTTTGTTCTGCTGTTAATGGTGGGTGTTTTTCCAAAAGAGGAAAGATGACCATAGAGCTGCTGGAAATTGCTAAAGGTTTCTAACAAATAAAAACAAACAAACAAAAGAAAAACTTCATGGCAAATGACAACACTTCTAACACCCTGTACAGTAACGGTAATGCTATAACCTGCAGTGACATGCTGAAAATCCTCTTTTTCACTGACACCTGGATATCATACTTTATTCCATCACCGGGGAGAACATTGTCTGCTGGGACCTTAGGACTGCCTACATTTGTATCCTTAAATGAAATTCAGCACTTTATGATAACAATGTCATGTTGCATGTGTTTAGTCACTTTCTGTGAATCAAATTTACATCTCTGAGACACCACTACACCATATTATCATGGCAAAAAGAAATCTTTCAAAAATACATCAATTTTACATCCAAATTTATATATATCATCAGAGGCATATATGAAATGATGCTGAATCTCTGGATTTATTATATTATTTTTTGTTTTATGAGTCCCACGTTGAGGCTAGCTCACTCCGCTCATGTTTTTTGCTGATTTCTTTTTTCATTAGCTGTTGTTTAAGTGAAGACACTCGTTAAAAGCTACATTTACTCTTTGAGTTTTTTCATTGTACACTTAAACAGATGTAAACACCTCATGATTGTTAAAACCAATAAACTCCCTCAGGACCTGTGTAACCTTATTTTTGAAAAACATGCTACTAGCATGGGCAACAGAACAGTTTCAAGACTGCGGAAAGTTCCAGTGAACACTGTTGGGGCTAATCCAGAGGTAGAAGTAGGGATGGGTAGGGATGCCATGATGGCACCGGTTCTGACATAAACGGTAGTAACCAGACCGAAAAGCAGCGCACATTTCGCTGCTTTATTTCGGTTCTTTTTTTTCCTGAGCTGTGATACACTTTGAATTCTAGCCAATCATTTTACGTTTCCGAGGATAGTAGGCGGGGCCAGGTACGTAAGTTCTTTTAGAGCAGAGCTACAGATTAAAAATGCCCAAGGCAAAGCGGTCAAAAGTCTGGTTGTACTTCACAGCAAAAGATGCAAACTCAGCAGCAACAAGTGCTTTAAGCTGATACTGTGATGCTTTCAAAGGAGGTAACACCTCAGAGTTTTTTTTTAAAGCCGAGAAATGCGCCGTATTTGAAAGCTTGCTGCGAGACCTCACACCGAGCACATCTACTGCGGGTGTGGTGCCTGTTATCGGACCCGGAGTTAGCAACATCCCCAAAAACACGAAGAGGAGAGTCCTGGCCCCTAGCCCTGCCAGTGTAGCAGAAATGATGACGGATGATGATGCAGCAGCAGCCGTTCTTCTCTGCGTGAGTAGCTTAATGTTGTTCGTGTGTAATTTATGTTGGGTAGGCTAACCACGTTATTACATTAATACACGTAAGGTGAACTAGCAAACACCGCTGTAGTTACATGCAGCTGTCTTCTTGTTTGATGGCAGATACTCCCTTCACCCTGGCTAAAATGACCAAAGAAAAAG